TGTAATAAAAATTGTAGGACCAAGGTAGGTCGCCCCCGTTTTTTTTTTTTAAAGATAGGTTACGCGCTAGATTAAGCTAATCATTTAAAATTAAGTTAAATATTTAATTGATATCATGTTCTCAAGGTTTTTAAGGATACTTGTTAAATGGGTTAGACACTTCGCATGGGAATCATCGAATTTTGGAAAGATTTTGGCCTTCGTGAGATTTTGTCCACCATTGCAAGTTACAGGAGTAGATTTCTGAACATCCCTTAAGTGTACTGCAGTACGATGATTAAAGGAACTTTTTGGAAATATTTCAAGCTCAAAGGTTTAGGGATATAGTGATAGAACGACATTGGGATTAAAATGAGAGCAGCGTGAATAGTAGTACTGTCGACATCATTCGTTAGTTTTCTCTTTCTCTTTCTCTTTTTTTTTTTTTTTGTTAATTGAAGTTCGATTTCGCGTTATCTGCAAATTTGGATACTTGGACTGTTTGCTCATTTGCTGCTCATACCTGAACTGCCTAATTCGATAGTATAGGGACTAAATTTGTTAAATTGATATTCTCTTTAAATCGCTTTTCGAAATGCAATAAAAATTATTTCTGGCGAAAAAAGCAAAAAAAAAAAAATTTAATATATAATTTCGCCTTGAATTTCTAATAATTGCAGAAAAATCAATAACAAAAAAGTGAAAATAAAAATAAACCAGAATAAAATTGAAATTAAAAATTTTGGGCATTTTATTGGCCGATTGCCAACAAAATTTTGCTTGCTTACAAAATTCAAAAGTTATTACAATTGGGTCAATATTTTATTATTGAGACTGGTTTTGCTTTTCTTTTTTTTTTTTTTTTTTTGTTTTTGCAAGAATATTAAAAAATATTGTATATATATAAAATAATTTTCATTTTCTATTGATTTGTGCACTGACTGGTATGCAATGTGCGAACAACACTTGAAATAGAACTAACTGCGTTGCGTTGCTGATGTGTGTTGCGTATAAAGCGTGATGCAAAACAATTGAATTTAATTAAAAGTAATTATGGTTAAATTGCTTTGGCATCTAAAAATCAAAACTAATATATATTTCTAAATAAACTGAACAAGAAAGAGAAAAAGGGTCGTGTTTTTTGTTTCTTTTTAAACTTTGAGCAAAAATGAAATCGTGATTTGCTTTTAAAAGCATTGAACTCACGATTTGCTGAAAACTTCTTCTTCTTCTTCTTTTTTAAAGTTTTATTTGTTGACAGGGTTAAGGCTAATCGGAATTTCGATGCATTAAAAAAAAAAAAGATTAGGAGATATTTCGAGTAAATTTACTTTGTGTGTATGTGTGTGTGTGTGAATATGTAATGAATTTTAAAAATTTACTACTTCATGTTGATATGGCGACTGTGTTTATCACCTGTCATCACAATTATTCAAAGGCTTATCAGGAGTATATTTTTCCTGAATTTTTGGCAAAGCTTTGTGTTAAATGGCATTAATTGTTCGTCTGTTGTGCCTGGATTACGACGATTTTTAATTTTGCTTTATGGCCATTAACTAAAAACCCATAATCAATGTTTGCAAAAGAGAGTTAAAGGGAGTTAAACAGAGCTAAAAACGAAACAAAAGGACGAACACGAACAAAATTGTTTCAAAATCGTGTGTCCATTAAGAATGTGAATAGTTTATGAGGTCTCCGGTGGACATTGTTACAATCAGATTGCAGAGGTGCCCTGGCCAGTGAAATACTCATTAAAGGGGTAGAAGACCACTGTAACAGCCTAAGAAACAACATGTTTTTGCCAATTTTTTTTGGACGAAGGGAACTCTAGCAAAATAATAATATTTGAGAAACTTATTAAACATTAGAAAAGAAAATATTTTTGAAATATGTTAAAAGATGGCAACACCGCACCTGTTTTCTGGAGATATCGTTAGCTCTAGGGATTCTGCGTCAAGCAGCAAAACTGGTCCCAATTTGAATTACAAAGAAAGTTCATTTAATCTAGATGCCTATATATTAGTTTGGGAAAAAAGAAATCCATTATTTTTTCGGTAGATGGCTGCACTGATAGATTTCTCGTAAAGTATCGATCAAACAATTTCCGATACTGTACATTTACATACTGTACATTTCGCAGTAAAAAACATTCTTTTGCTGTTTTTTGTTTGGTGCATTCAGTTGTGAGTTACAGCGTGTTAAAAATGGAAGTGAACAAAGAGAAAATTCGGTACATTTTATAGTTTTTCTTTGACAAAGGCGAAAATGCAAGCCCGCCTGGCTAAAATTGTGAATGGTATTTATGGTTCCGATACTGTAACAGCCAATTATGTGCACTTTTGGTTTCGTAGATTCCGTTCAGGAATTTTTGATGTTAAAGATGCACCTCGCACAGGTAGGCCGGTCGTCGAAAATGTCGATAAAATCGGAGAAATGATCGAAGTTGACCGGCATGTTAGCAGTCGCCAGCATCGCCCAGGAGCTAAAAATCGACCATAAAATAGTTTTAAACCATTTACACAAAGCTCGATTCAAAAAGAAGCTCGGGGTTTGGGTGCCACACCAATTAACGGAAAAAAACATGATGGATCGAATTTCCATCTGCGAAGCCTTGGCCAAACGGAATGAGATAGACCCATTTCTTAAACGGATGGTGACTGGAGATGAGAAATGGATCACATACGATAACCCTGTGCGAAAACGATCGAGAGCTGAGTTGAGATATGAGTTGCTTCCATATGGCCAAACGTTAAATTCTGATCTCTACCGTCAACAACTGGACCGTTTGAAGATAGCGATTGACCAGAAACGGCCAGAATTGGCCAACAGGAGAGGTGTCATGTTCCACCAGGACAACGCTAGGCCACACACATCTACAGTGACTCGCCAGAAACTTCGGGAGCTTGGTTAGGAAGTTTTAATGCATCCGCCATACAGTCCGGACTTGGCACCAAGCGATTATCATCTTTTTCTTGCATTGCAAAATTTCTTTAATGATAAAAAATTGGAATCTAGGGAGGATTGTGAAAATTGACTACTAGAGTTTTTTGCAAATAGAGATCAGGACTTCTATGAGAGAGGCATTTTGAAGTTACCTTTAAAATGGCCACAAATCATACAACAAAACGGTGCATATTTGACCCAAATCGGACAATCCGAAGCATGTTAAATAAAGTCCTGAAGTTCATATAAAAATAATGGATTTCTTTTTCCCCAAACTAATATAATGAAAAACGTAAGGGTTTTCGAAAATATTGAGTTTTGTGTAATTGGCGAATGTTACAATGAAAATGTGAAGTTTTCGACTAAAAAAAGTCACTCTCTTGATGACTATCCATCTGTTAATCGTTACAGCTGGTCATTTCTGCAACAATACATCGTTCAATTGATTCAATTAACGTCGGCAGACACCGTTCATTCAGTTTCACATGGTTTTAGCAGCTTGCAATCCTCTACACCAAGCAGATCCCACGATAAATACTCCACCATAGCAAAACTCTACGGCCATGAATACTCCGCTTGACTGTCGATGTTGACGGCTCTCCTAGACTAACACGTGACTTTTTGCGCTTGCAGCTGTTGTAGTTGATCCACTTTTCATTTCCAATCACAACAAGCCACAAGAATTTTTTTTTTTCTGTATAGCAAACAGTGGAGTCACCATCGTATGTAATCATGTAAGAATAGTAGATTCATTAACTGTTAAGCTCCTCGAAAATTCTTTGAAAGATTCTGTTTGAGTTTTCATCCAATACGTATACAATTCATTCATTCGTTGAAATCGTCAATTGTGATTTGAAAAGGCAGCACTACCCTAAACTTTTAAAAGTTTTTGGTAAGCGTCCGCAGTAAATGTCTTCCAATCAAACAACGTAAATAATGAAAGTCGAAAATGCAATTTGAAGCATTCCACGATTAGCGCCTGTGTATGCTGAATAACTCAATGCCTCTAAATGAGAATCTTATATATTTTATATATAGAAAAGTTAAAATTATTCAATTTAATCGTTGTGTACATTAATATTTCGTATTACTTCACTATTTTCCTCAAGAGACGATGCTGATCAAAATATATGCAAGCACCTATTAAATAAACAGTTGAGAATTTCATCTACATGTATCAGAATAGCTATATATATTTATATATATGAAAGATGGGACGGCACACGCGAGCCTTTCGCCTCTTGAAAGTTCTTTGCAAAAATGTAACCAAAATTCAGTTTCTATGGACAGAACTATCTTCTTAGAAAATGATAAAAGTTTTTTTGTCTGCAAGAGAAAGTGTCCTGCAAAATAGTGCTGAAAGGTACATTCCTTTGCTATAGACTAAAGGCATTTACTACTCGCAGATTCACTGACTTGAACGCCAATAGTTATTTACGACTGTTAGTTACATTCCGATAGTCAGCTAATTTTAGGGTACAAAAGAACAAAAATCATTTTTTTCCCATTTGCTTATGCTAATTATGCTACAGATAGGGGGTATTAGGCTATGCAGGAAAAAATCTCCGAACTCCTTTAATTTCACCAAAGAATTCAACTCTAACCAGCAAAGATTAGTGAGTCTTCACTTGAAAGTAAAAGATGTCGGAACAGGTATCCTTAGGCTGTTTTCTTAGCTTTGGATAAGGAAAAGGAGACAATATCCGACAGTTCTGTGTACTGGATTTTTCAATTAAGGGCAATTAATCTTATTTCCAGTGTAGAAAAGTTGATAAAAAATGGAATTGATTTTCAGAAATGAATCTCATCTAATGAAGATTGTTTAAAATGTATTGAAGCAAAGATCAAAATGAACTCAAAAATAGAAAGAGAGAAAAAAAAATCATTCGATTTTCATTTTACAAAACGTATTGTATTCAAAAATTAATTTGATTTTTTGTTGCAAACAAGTTATAAGCACAACAAATTTAATTTTTTACCCCTTTACCACAAAGACGATATTTGCTGTCTGGCGAGTCTTTAGTCAGCCATCCAATGACAAGCAATGAATATAAATGAGAAATTATTTCAATATTTACCTGTGAATCATTAAAATTGAAATCCCGTTCGGCGATACTGATTTGCGTTTGTGTTGCCAGCAACAAGCCCATCATCAGCATTATCACAAAACCTGTGCATTGCAGTCGTCTCGTCGTCAAAAAGTTTTGCTGATTATTTAAAAACTTTGGTAACATTTTGTAAAGATGAAATTGAATCTGTGCTGAGTGCTGAGTATGTCTTATACGAAAAATGAAAGCGACAAAATTCGTAGTTTCGTGAAATTAACTTAAAAATGAAAACGAAAGTAAATAAAAATGCGAAAGAAAAAGAAGTAAAGCGAGTTGCGTGATTTAAAATTGCATTTACGCTGTAATTAGCTTTATATGACGGAGCAGTGCATCATCTGAAAGTAAGATAAGAAAATAAAAAAATTATTATTATGCTTTATAATTAAATACAAAATAATTTTATTGTTAGCGGTCGAAGATTATTTTCAACACTTTGTTTTTTTTCTCTCTTTTGTACCCATCCCGGAAGGATGAGGAGTATTTTCATTTTGCCAAAAAATTTTGCAACGCCCAGAAGAAAGCATTAGACGCTACACAAAGTATATATATTCTTGATTAGCATCAAATCGATTTGAGCATGTCCATCTGTCCGTCTGTCCGTCTGCGTTATGTGTGTTGTAAACATTCTCCTGGCCGCAAAGATAAACCTATCGACTTCAAATTTGATAGAAACATTGGTAAATCTTGTATGCAGGTTGGTTTTGAAAATGGGCCAAATTGATCGAATCATACGCCCACAGCACTACATAAACTGAGAAAACCTATGCTTTTCAAAGGAAAGTTTTTTGCTCATTACTCGTGAACTATGGCAAATAAATGGACAAAAATTTGAACGCATATTCTATGGATGATACTGTATTATATGCGTACAAAAGATGACAAAAATGGACCACACCTACCCTTATAAGGTACAGAAACAAGCTTCAAAAACCCTATAAAATATATAAATTCTTGGCCATTTTCAAATTCGGGATACACCTAAACATGTCCGCCTATTCGTCTGTCCATCTGTCTGTTTGGGCCACATTGTAGTATTTATGGTAAAGATTCTTCCATGTCGAGAGATTCTCCCGTGTAAAAGAATTTGGAATGGATCTAAACTTTTCAAACGACAAGCGTACAACGCCCACAGGCGTATAAGACAGAAACTCTTATGTTGAGAATAGAAAAAATCAATTGCACCCACTCCATATTATAGAGCATGCAAATTTTGTTCTTTTAATCCTTTGTTTTTTTTTTTTTTTTTTGGATAACGGCGATGGGTATAAAAGATTCGTTTTCGATTGAATTTAATTTTCTTATTTGTTTTATCGTAATTTGTCTAAATGGTATGAAATTAAAAAAAAAATAATAATAATAATTTTTTTTTTTTTTTTTACCAAATAAGTGAGGAGCGATGATCTCATGAGTATATAGAGAGACATATTATATAAGATTTAAAATAGAAGTCAAACAAAAGAAAAATATGTAAATACATTAAATGAGCAAATAATTAAATTATATAAGTAAGTATTTGATGACAAATACGCCTTATTTACCGTTCTATATGGTACAACTATTCCTAACCGCTCGCATCATATTCAAGTGCTTTTCAAGTTATTCATTCACTTGTCTAACGCAAAACGTTGATAGGCGAATAGATGATGATTTAAATAAATTAAAATGTGTATGCGTTTAACATATGAGAAGAGGAAATGCCTAACGAACCAAGGTGCGCACATCATCTATCCATTAATGCGGTTATGAACATTAATTAGCAAAAATATTCTTCTGACCACAAAATATGCTTCACCGTGCATTAAATGGATTTTAAATACATAATAATAATAATAATAATAGTAATAATGTAATGAATAAATTATGTTTTATGGCAGTGCCTTAATGGGGCGTTAGGCTTTAAAGGAAATTCAATTCGATATTATTAGCTTAACTATTGTCGAGCGTTTATTATTTTTCGATTGAAAAAAGGTCTTGTTGAATTAAAATTTTAATCCCTCTTAGCATCAAAAACATCTGCTTCTCTCTCTCTCTCTGTTTAATTATAAACAACAGATGGTTCAGTTCACGGTACACTACCCAATGAAAATAAACTTAATAAATAAATTTAATTAAATTTTCAATAAAATATTTGTACATTTTATGCCATTTGTCTGTTAATCATATCTCAAGACGACCTGAATTTTACATTACAATGTCAATTGTTGAAATTATTTCTTCAAATAATTCACTTATGATTAATTTATAATAATATTAAGTTCATCTAATTTTTTAACCTTGAAGATATTATTTTATGCCTTTGCCAATTTGGCTGATATTCAAACTAGATTCGGACCTTTTAGTTATGAACAAATACAAGCAGTACAGTAGACAGTAGGCCCACCATTAAATACCCTACACCAACTTATGGTTATTGATGTAACGACTTTTGAAAGTAAGGTTTTATATGGGAAGTGCTCGAAAAGTGATCCAATCCATCTTTAATAGCGCTCGTCCTTGAGGCAAAACACCTTACTGTACCAAATTTCGTCACAATATATCAACAAATGCGTACTGTAAGTTCAGCTAGAGGACAGACGGATAGATAAGCTTAAATCGATTCAGGGAGTGACTCTCAACTGACGGGTATAATGAAAGATGAATGTATCTCAATTCCTTCTCAGTGTTGCATACAGCTGCACAAACTTAATGTATCTTTACACCACAAGTGATGTGGAGTATTAAAACACATTGCCATTCAATTTTATAGGGCTACGTGGGTTTAGAATTTACAAAAAAATCGACTGTTTTATCGTTTTTCTTTTCGTGAAATAACACATTGTCTCAAGAATATTTCCCCAAAGCTTCGAATCAGTCGCAGTATGATCTCAGGCGAGAAAGAGACCATTTGCAAATTTTTAGCAATAAGTTAAATATACTACTTGCGCCACTTCAAACTTTAATTGCTTCTCCCGCAAAACCGTCTTTATGCGAAAAATATATTTTTGTATAAGGAAAGCAGCAGAAAAATGGAAGTTAATCAAAGATATAGTTGCTATACTCTAAGAAGCGCATACCTCATAAGACGAAAATTTGAAAAAGCCTGAGAATACTTACTTCAAAACCGTATTAATTAACGTTGCTGAGACATGACATCGGCAATGTCTGAACTGTATAGTCTTTTTTTGGGTCCGATATGGGAATAAGATTGTACACGTCGTTCAAATTCATGGTTTGATGTACATTGATTAAGTTTTATTGGCCGAAAATTCCTAAATAGGCGGACTAGAATATTGAAATTAAGCCAGTTTGACAGGGCTAATGAATCTACTAATTTGTTAATTCGCTTGATAAAAAACTTGATGCCTTACCTACGCCTATCTAGGGAAGGTAAAGCTATTAGTAGTAATCTATTTTCAAATGATGTTAACGAAGCTTGAGGTTCCCACCGTTCGTAAGGAAATTGCCTTAAGAAATACGGCGCAAGACAGCCGGTGGATAGAAGAGGGAGTGTATTCTACTAAAGTCCCCTCTATATGGAACGCATTAATTGCAACAATTCTCCTAATTGTGGTTTCGCGGAAGAGAGTGATGGAAGTAATGTGTACGTCGGAGTTAGTTTTAGTGTATAGACCTCATGTGTGGTACCTTTAGAAGATTTTTACCTCCAGCTTATATAGCAAAAAAAAAAAAAAACAAGCGTGATCACAGGAACACACGATCAGGCAATACAAATTTCACTGAAATTAATATTTTTCTGCATAACTGAAGAAGAAGAACAAGCTTCCGCCGTCTGACGAAAGATGGCCCCACTAGAAGGTTTTGTTGAAAATCTCAGATGTAAAAGCGAAATTCGATATGGGTTTCATCACGAAGTAACGCAATCTTCTTGTTAAAAATTCAATCTTTAAATTTTTTTTTTTTTAGCTTTTCCATTAATCCTCTTATAACCCTTTTAACCGAAAATACTTAGATTTTTGTGTATGTGAGTAAAAAAAAATGGTTACGGAACGACACCCAAATTTGAAACTTTAACGCGACCAAACTAGAAAATGTGACACATTTAAATTTTTAAAAATTGCATACTTCGCAAAAAACACGTACCTTACTGACATTAACAGAAAAAAACCAATCAATTTCTTTTTGGACGGATTCAAATTTGTTTTTTTTTTTTTGCATGCCATTTATGCTATTTATTTGTTACACATAGCTATGCTTGCGTGAAATATAAAAAGTAGGCAAATTGTAAAAATTAACGCATCCAAAATAGAAAATGTCGCCTATCTTCATCTATATCTCTTGAGTTTAGACGAAAATATAATATGTGTGGAAAGATCAAAAAATATGCAAACTTCTCTTTCGAGAACTACTTTTAACAATTTTTTGACATATTGTACGTTAGCAAAAAATGGGAGTGGAAGAAGACGGGCTATCCACCGCCTACGGATGGCCACACAATGCCTATGGACCGCAAATGAGCTTCACACCGTCTAAGCACCACCTATGCATGAGCTATACACTGCCTAAACACCGCGCATACGCTGCTTATGCATGGGCCTATGCGTTACCATCTATGCACGGCCTATGCGCCTTCTATGTATCGGCATGCACTTTACTCCTGTTTAAATGTTTCTTTTGCATATGCTTCAACAAGGTTGAAAAACTAATGAATATTAAAAAAAAAAAAAAAAAAAAGATTAGAGAAAGTATGTGATCTTTTAAGCTTCGAAACCAATATTTCTCTCCTACTGAAACTCCTTAAGTTCTAAGCTGGAAGGGCAAACACGTAGAGACGAAATAGACGGATGTTATCAATTGCTCGGTATTTGGCCCAAGAAGAAAATAAACTTTAGGTTAAACCTTTTCTTTTTGCCATGATTTTTTAAGATGAATTCGCACTGATCAATGATGTGTATACTTGAAGAGGTCTCCGATATACATTTTTAAGTACTACAGGCATTTACTAGGTTCATCGTAGCTTTTGAGATGAGAAATTTTTTGATGGAGATATACTTAACAAGCAATTAGTAGCAACTAGTTGACTGAGTATGCAATAAGTAAAGAAATCTGAGACGGTTGGCACCGTAGTTATCGCAAATAGCACTGTGCACATCGTATGATGATTAAGCGCAAAAGGACAAAAACAATTTTATAAAAAGAAGGATACTACGATCAAAAACTAATAAGAGTTTCACGGCGAGATTATCCAAATGAGTTATTTGCTGTTGATAGCATCTGTCTAATTTACATCCGCGTCAATTTTCACCTTGACGGTAGTGACATTTGAAGGTAAAATTGTTTACTTTTATTTAAAAAAATACATTTTTCAAGTCGACTTCTAAGTTGTACTACTCTACAA